AATTCTGAATTACATTATGGTGTGTGGCGCTGTAGGATAAGCACTGGACTATGAACCACTAGATCTACAGTTCAAATCCACCAGCTTCTCCTTAGAAACCCTGTACAGGGACACTATGTGTTGAAACTAACTCGATGGCCCTTAACAACAACATTGCTTATATAAAGCTTGAGAAACTAATACTATTCACTTAACTACATGTACAATATGCTTATGACTTGACTTTAAATCATGCAGAGAAACCTGCGAGAGCCGGAACCGGCAGGACAGCTGTGCTTTTTCCAGGTCTCATGAATCGTCCGCCTCTGACAGGGGACAGCCACCAGTTACTTATGGATTGTTTCAGTGGAAAGTATTTGAATGTACCTTCTCTGGCAGGTTTCTGCCTTACACAGGTTCCAGCTTTCACGTGTTTAACTGAAATATTTACTGGATACTTAGTGTGTGTGAGAATCCCTGGTGGCACAGAGGTTAAGTGCTTGGCTGCAGAAGTCAAGCAGTTTAAAGTCACCTGGAGAAATACGTGGCAGTCAGCTTCCACAAAGATTTTTTTTTTTAAACTCATTGTGAAATGAATGATAGTTCTACATGGGAGAAGATCGGTTTTGCCCTCACCCTACTGTATTTCGTTTCATTGCAACGATTACAGTCCTCTGTGCATCATCATTCAACATCTTTGCTTCTATTCCCTCTGTGTTTTTGTTTGTTTGTTTTGGATGTACATAAAAACACTCAGGAATCATTTAAACAACCAAAGGGCACACTGTGCAAGCCTGCCTCCTGGCCGCCAGCACACAGCCTTTCTCTTTCCGTGAGTCTGGAGTTCTCAGCTGCTCTATCTCTCCATGTCATCATTCCTGCCTCCATCTCTGGTGTCACTGCTTCTCTGGTTAAAGTTCCATAAAGATTTACAGCCTCTATAACCCTCTGGGACAGTTCTACTCTGTCCTCAACATCGTTATGAATTGGAATCCTCTTGACATCAGTGAGTTTGTTTTTAATCATGACATGTGGGGCTCTATGCTAAATAATTTCATTGTATTATTTCCTTAAATACTAACAACCCTTCAGTTAGTAGGTATTCATAGTCTCAATTTTACTGGTGAGAAAACTAAGGGTACAAGAGGTAAAATAGTAAACTCTATGGGACAGTGTCTCACATGCCTGTCAGCTTGCTGAACTCTGAGGGTTTGTGAGCAGCTGTGAGGTTCATGTTTCAAGTCCCAGCAGGGTATTCATGGTGGACAAGGTTTCAGCAGAGCTTCCAGACTAAGACAGACTAGGAAGAGGAACAGGAAGTCTACCTCTAAGAGACTGTTGGTGGTGTTGCTGATCGCCACTGAGTCAGTTGTGACTCACAGTGACCCCGTATAGGGTTTCTGAAGAGTAGCTGGTGGATTTGAATCATTGACTTTGTGGTTAGCAGTCCACTACTTACCTACAGCACCAAATCAGAGGGATTAGCCCCTGAAAATCTTAGGAGTAGAAGTGAAACACTGTCTGATACAGTGTCAGGAAATGAGCCCCTCAGGTTGGAAGGCACTCAAAATATAACTGAGGAAGAGCTGCTTCTTCAAAGTAGAGACCAAAGGCTCACAGCAGGCAGGAGGCACGCTGAACGGCAAGGAAAAGGTTAGGATGAAAAGTCCACAGCAAACTCGGCAGCCTGTTAGACCTCTGCTGTAAGGCCAGGCAACTGCAGGTCACAGCAGGAAGTGGCCTAGGGCAGCCACCACTCAGGGGTCACAGAAAAGGATGTTGCAATGTTCTGCCTGCAGAGGGGAGGAGGGAGTCTGGGGAGAAACTGGGGACGTCGTGATATTTCACAGCACACACTATGTGGATGGCCCCTGAGGAAAACCTGAGGGAGTAGCCGACGGCTGGCCACTGCCATCCTTCTATACATCACTGACTCTGTAGGCAGGGGCTTGGCAGTTGGGACAACATGCCCCAGGAAATGAAGAGGTTTTAGAGGCAGGCCAACCTAGGTACCAATCCCAACTCTGACAACTGCAGCTGGGAAACGCTGGGTAAACTTTACCAATCAGAGCCGCCAATTTAGTAAATTGGGTTTTAAGACGTTGGTTGGAAAATGACATTATCTTTTAGTTCAATTTTTCCACAAACTTTTTGAAGCCCCCTTTTACAATGAGAACAAAACCATTCACCTAACACAAGTGCCGGGAGTAGAAAATGAAATCACATAGGTAAAAAAAATTCAGTTCAGTGGACAGAATATAAAAAATCAATTTAAAATATTAGTTTGTTTCTCCTTTCCCTTTCCTATATACATCCTTTGGTTTATCAAAGCCAGGGGAAAACATTTATTACAAAGTCTCTCATGGTCACAAGTAACTTTGCTAGAGTTGAAACAGTAAGAGGAAAACCTTTTTAGTGTCTTCCTAGGCCAATTAGACGTTTTGTGCGCATGAAAACTTAAACGTGAATCCACTGTTTCTGGGTTTGTTCCGTTTCTCAGAAGTTTATTTGAGGGAGCGTATTTCAAATTTTAAAAGTTGTTTCTGTCTCGTCACCCTGAAAGAATTATCAATCTTGTATAGGCCACTCTTGTGAAAAATCTCCTAGATGTTTTTGGAAGACTGAATAACAAGGTAAAGTATAGGAAATTCTAATTCCCTTTAGAAGAACCAGTCATTTCAGGAACTAGAAATACTGTTTGCAGAGATGGGTTTCATCCAGGGACAAACGATCATGTACGTAGGAAGTAGTGAGCAAGTATTTTTTAATGAAGAATTATCACTTAACCAAATGTATAGTGAAACATTTACAGCAACAAATCCCACCACGTACACATGACTTGGTTTCAAGGACTATCAACGATCCGATTTTAAAGCTGGAACTTGGAAATATGATCTAATCTGCTTCACTCAAACAAAAGTGTTATGTTTTTAGAGACATCTACCTTCAGAATGGTATTCCCCGTGGGGTTTCACAATGCAAATCTCAGAGTGATACTGTAAATTACCCAAATTCTGACATTAAAGAACATGGTATTGTTTTCATTTTTTCTAAATAATGTCAGATAAGGGCATACCTTCCCAATATGTGGATATTAAACAAAATCCTTTTTAAGTAACAATGATCGAAATCCTGAAGTTTCATCAAAAATTTTTTAATGAACCACGACAAGATAATAAAAGGAGCTCTGGTAGCATAGTAGTTACAAGTCAGCCTGCTTTAACCTCAAGGTCAGCAGTTCGAAACTGGCATCTGTTCTGCAAGATAAGATGAGGCTTTCTGCTCCCATAACGATTTTAAAGCCTCAGAAGCCTTATACAGGGTGGCTATGAGTTAGAACCAACTCCAGGGCACACCACCCCCACAAGATAATAAAGAAGCTCTGGTCACACAGTGGATTACAAGCTGGACTACTAACTTCAAGGTCAGCAGTTCAAATCTACCATTTGCTCAGCAGGAGAAATTTGAGAGTTTCTACTTTTGTAAAGATTAACAGCCTTGAAAACCCTATACAGGACTGCTATGAGTCGGAACCGAATCGCTGGCACACAACCGTGGCCAAAACTCCACTGCCAGTGAGGTGATGTTGACTTTAGTCTTGCTCAAGGACTGAGTAGAACTGTCTTTTTTGTAAAAGTTTTTATTGTGAATTGAGTGACAGTTCACATGGGAGAACAATGGTTTTACACTCATCCTAGTGTATTTCGTTACATTCCAATTACAATGCCCTCCCTGCATCATCATTCTACAGCATCTGCTTCTATTCCCTGTGGGTTTTCCCCCTGAATGTACAGAGTAGAATTGTCTTATGGGATTTCCATGGTTGTAATCTTCATGGAGGAGTCCTGGTGTGGTGCTGTGGGTTAATGCAGTAAACTGTAAAGTCAGTTCAAACCACAACGTCGGAAGTTCCAGCTCACCAGCCGATCCTCAGTAACCCTAAACAGGGTCGCTCTGGTTCCGAGTCAGAGTGATAAGGCACTTAACAACAACAACAACAACAACAACCTTTATGGAAGCAGACTGCAACTTTTCTCCAGAGAAAGGCTAGTGGGTTGGAACTGCTGACCTTTGGGTTCACGTCAAGCGCTTTCACCACTGCACCTGCAGGGCTCCTCTGGGAGATAAAGACAGGAAACAGGAGAAGGTGAAAAAGCGCTGCAGGTGGGCAATGGGAAGGAGCAAGCCAGCCCTGGGCAATATGAAAGGAAGAGAGACTGAATTCATTCCAGACCAGAATTCCGGAACTTTACCATAGTAGCATCACACTGTCGTGGACACCAACATGACTGTTCTCAGTACCTTCTCCAACGTCCCCACAAAACAGAAGAGTCTTTTTTCACAGCAAACACAACGCTTCTGCCCTTTAACTGCCACCTCTTTTAGTATTAAAAAGACTGTTTGTGGTTATAGCTGAATATAGTAGGTGCCGTCTCTGCTGTGGGAAAACTCTATTCACAAAACAATTCACTGCAAGTAGATACAAACACAAGCAAAGAAAGCAAACTGCCCTCCATCCCCATCTCTGCCTCCTACCTCATATGAGGTGACTCACATGGATGGGCTAGTCACCAGGGAGAGAGCCATAAATGCTCCCTAGCAGAGATCTAGAAAGTTCCAATTAGGCAGGCTAGATGAGAAGAGATGATATCGCCAGGCTCAGCAGGGAGCTTCAGGCCCACAAGCATTAATCAGAGATGACTCCATGGTTCGTTTATACACATGACATCATATAGTCTGAGCTGTGGTTCCTACCTGCCCACTGGAAACCTTCACTGCTTTCTGACTTAATGCACATGAAAGGAGCTTCTATTTCTCTAGGTGTCATGGTAAGCTATAAAACCTGCACCGAACTTGGCCCGATTCTGAAGAAAACTCAAGCTGATTGGCCAATGCCTTCTTTGAAGTCCCTGACCATGTGGAGTTTCCTTCCCCCAAAGGGAACCCTGACCGAGGCCCTGGAAAGCTAGCTGGATCGGAGCCTGCGAGCAAAGAGACACAGATCGAGGCAAATAGGATACCTTTGAGAAGATGCTGCTGCTCATTTCATCGCTGGTTGAGTGAAAGAGGTCAGGGTCACTCCCAGATTCTCTGTTAAGGCCCCCTTGTGAGGAGGAACACTCTCCGTCCAGGCCAGCATCCAGGAAGCTCTCACATTCTGAAACAGACAATACTTTAAATTACATGAAATTGTAATTTCTCGGCATCACAGGAACTGGTCCTTTGTTTTTTAAAATCGAGAAGACACAAAGGACACATGGTCAGATTAGAAGCTTCCAGCTCTGACAGCCCAGTCCTGGGATGATCGAGTTACTACTGTCGGTGAGTGCCTTTGAGCCTGTTCCAACACACAGTGACCCTGGACGGGGTTCTGAGGAGCAGATGGGGGGTTTGAACCACCAACCTTTTGGTTAGCAGTTCAGTGCTTACCCTAGTGCTATACCAGGAAAGAGTTACTACAGGCCTTCCAATGCAAGCATGTGCACACACAGCCCTAATATTTTTAACCTCTATTAATAAGCAGTATTCAAAGCCAAAATGGGGACCACACCCAATAACTGTGTTTGTAGAGAACAGACTTAAATGAGAACGCTGATAAACAGAACTGTATGCCTGGCAATAGGCCCCAACAGTGTAAAGACATGAGATACATCTGTTCGCAAAGAAGTGTGATTGACTAGGGACAGCCATCACATGAGGAAGGGTAAACAGCAATGTTTGGGATTTGTCCCACAAGGCGGAACCCCATCTAGTGAGTGGGTGCTGCAGGAAGCCCCAGCCCCCAGCCTAAGGAATGAGCTGAGCCCTTCTCCACAAGGACTGTGTCCGGAGCTTCCAGAAAGGTGTCTCTGCAGAGGTCAACAGTGGGAAGCAGGCGACGGAAACCATCCTTTATGATTCTCAGATTCTGGGGACAATAATGTGGAACCCATGTGCTCTGTGTGTCTGGAGAGATCATGGGAAGACATTGATCTTATCTCAGTTAATTAGTGTATTGATAATTATTTGCTCCAGACCAGCTGGATAGCTAGGGGAAGAAGGTTCAAGGAAGCACTGAGTGACTTAACTTATTAAAACTGCCTTTTCTATGAAGTGAGGCACCCCGGTAGGCACTAAGAGAGTCCCCATGATGAGAGAGGCTGCAATCTTATGGAAGAAAAGACATTAGTATAGGAAAACGTCACCATGGACGCACAAACAAACAGCCACAGGAAGCAAAGCAGGGCTCATGGATTCATCAGAAACAGTACAGTTAAGCACATTTTCAGTTAAAAATAAACAAAAACAAACCCAAACCGAAAACCTCAAACACTAGTCCATTTCAGACTTGGTCCAAACGATCTGAGAATGTCGTTTCAAGGGTGATGGTTCTACCTTTGAAAGAGTGGCATTCCTAGGTTTTCTGGAGTGGGGTTACATCTCACAAAGTATGTGCCAATTCAGCAAGAGGGGTCTTTCTGGGGGATTGGCTAAGAAAAGAAAGGGCTGTCCAAGCAACTACGCTGAGATGTCCAGCTGTCCAGCTGGCAGTGGGAACAACCACATCTAAAGTCCAGACTGGAAACACACCAGCTCAGATAGATTCTAATGGCGACTTCCCCAGTAGGATACCTCACCTGGAAACTATATCTGAATCAGCACTAACAAGGGACCGCAAACCAGTTCTGACTACTGGGGTGGGATGGGGGATGAGTGTACATAAAAACGATCAGGGAGTGACGAGGACTCTGTTGCTGTAGTTGGGTGCTGTCGGCTCAGTTCCGACTCATACAGAAGAGAACAGCGCCCAGGCCTATGCAGTCCCCACAGTGACTGTAACATCTGAGCTCATCAGTGTCACCTCTGCCAGTGGGGCAGCATTTGGAGTCTTCTCTCCTTCACGGACTCTCTCTCCACCAAGCAGGGAACCAGTCCCTATGAGAACATGGCCAGAGTACAAGAGATCAAGTCTCACCATTCTCGTCTCTAAGGAACATTCTGGATTTTTTCCAAGAAAGATGTGTTTGTTCTTCTAGCCATCCATGGTACTTTTAATATTCTTCTCCAATACCATAATTCAAACACTCAATTCTTTTGCGGCTTTCCTTATTGGTGGTCTAACTTTCACATGTACATGAGGTGACTGAAAACATCATAACTTGGGTCAGATGCACCACAGTCCTCAAACTGACGTGTTTGCTTTTTAATACTTTAAGGAGGTCTTTAGCAGTATATATGCCTAATGCAATACACCCTTTCATTTCCTGACTGCGACCAGGACTTTAAGGCGCTCTGGTAGCGCAGTGGTTATGAATAGGGCTGCTAACCTCAGGATCAGCAGTTCGAAACTACCTGCTGTTCCATGGGAGAAAGATGAGACTTTCTGCTCCTGTAAAGATTTACAGCCTTGGAAACCCTGTGCAGGGTCGCTATGAGTCGGAAACGACACCATAGCACATAACAACAACAACAACAACAACAAGAAGCATCAGTTTAAGGAGCCTGTTGGTGCAGCGGGTGAAGTGCTGGGCTGCCAACCAAAAAGCTGGCATCAAACCTGTGTTTCAGGAGAAAGATGAGGCTGCTATGTCTATGAAAGATTTACACCCTCAGAAATCCTATGGACAGTTCTTCTCTGTCCTCGTAAGGTTGTTATGAGTTGGAATCAACACAGCAGCAGTGGGCATGAGACTCAATTTCCATGTCAGTGAAATGGGACAATAAGTACCATCTTGTTATGGATAGATCTGTGTCCCCTTAAGATGTGCCAGCTTGGCCGAACCATAATTCTCAGTGGTTTTGTAGTTATGTGATGATTTCCCATGATGTGATCTAACCACCCAAAATCCTATCAGAGCCCTGATCATATTACGGGCGTTTCCCTGGGGTGTAGCCTGCAACACCCTTTACTTAAAAGGAGAGAGAAGTGAGTAGAGAACAAAGGGGTCTACTACCACCACAAAGACGTGAGCCGGAAGGGGAGTCTGTTCTTTGGACCTGGGGTCTTTGTATTGGGAAGCGCCCAGATCCAGAGAAAGATCGATGCCAAGACACATGGAGACATCCAAGGACTGCTGGGCCCACAGATGCTGAAAGTAGACGAGGACCTCTCCTCCAGAGCTGACAAACGGGAAGTCTTCCTCTAGAGCCAGCCCTCTGACTCTGGACTAGCCTCCTAAAGTGTGACAGAAGGATTTTCTCTTTGTTAAAGTCATTCACTGGTGGTATTTCTGTCAGAGCAGAACACATTATGTACATATGCTTCCTAACTGTTTTAGATAGGATATATACACACTGTATTCTGTGTTCTGGATATATACTTAATGTCCCTAAAGCGAGCCCTGGGGGTATAGTGAATAAGTACGTGGAACCCACCACCTGCTTCATGGGAGAAAGCTGTGGCGGTCTTAACCTAGAAGAGCGCAGCTTTGGGAAACCCTACGATGCTGTCTCACAGCATCACTACGAGCTGTAATCGAATAAATGGCAATGGCTTTGGGTTTGGATTTTGGTGTGTTACCTCAACTCTGCCCCTCGACCTACAGTAGGCATTTGATGAATGTACCTCATAAAGATACAGCTCCATAAACTCACAATGTGTGTTTCAACAAGTATCCCGTGAAGACAATGCCCTGACAGATGGGTGTAATAGGAACCAGCCCTGTTTTACAACTCTGTCTATTGTCTTCTGTGTACGGAACCTAGTGTGTACTTTTTAAGATGCTCTGGTAGCGTAGTGGTTACAAGGCAGGCTGCTAACCTCATGGTCAGCAGTTTGAAACTACCAGCCGTTCTGCGGGAGAAAGATGAAGCTTTCTGCTCCCGTAAAGATTTAAAGCCTTGGAAACCCTGTACAGGGTCGCTATGAGTCAGAACCAACTCCACAGCATATCACCACCACTACTACCACCATACATTCATTTGGTGTAGCACTGTGGGTTAATGCACTGGACTGCAAAGAGGGTTTGAAACACAAGGTCAGGGGTTCAGGCTCACCAGCTGCTCATCAGAAACCTTATACAGGGTCGTCATGGATGGGAGACGACTTGACAGCACTTAACAACAACAACAAACATAGCCATTTGGATTTAAAATGACACATGACTGTGCACATTAGTTATAGAAGGGTAAGGAAACACACAGCAGCACTCACTGGGGCTTTAATAAGTGATGCTAATCATAACCCGATCTCGTATTGATTTAACATTACGGAATATACAACGTGATTTTCAAAGATGTTATCTTATTTGGACTAATGTTGTTTTGCTTTTTTAGGCACATGTTTGTGAAGAAATCTACAACACTTCAAGTACTTAGGTTGGTTCACAATCAACAACACCTAACATCGAAATCCCAGGATCTTGGTGATGAATAGTTTAAGAAGAACCACAGAAAGAAGGTCAAACTGTTTGTATTTCCAGGTGGAGGTATGGAGGGTCTACAAAGTTCAAGATTATGCCCCGGGAAAATGCTGAGGGTTCAGAAGTCATTTCTTCAAATGAGTAAATTAAACTACAAAATGTGGAACTATTTGCTTAGAATATTCAAATGTTGAGGCACCTCCATCTAACTTGTATGTGCCAGAAGTTTCACTGTTTGAGTGGTTGGAGTAATTACACTATCAGAAAAAGCCCCCAACAGTTGAAGGAACCCAAACACAGCAATGATATATTTAAGTAGAGAATTCCTAAGGGTGAAAGGAGAGATGTGCCCCGTAAATCTGTAAACAGGGTCAATCTTATCAAATTTGGAGATGCCAAACACAACTACAGCATGAGAATGTGCTCTGTTCACTCTTTTCACAAGAGGGAGTGAGAAACATTGTTCATTATTATTTTCCTTTGTAATAAAGTCAAAGAGTTCAGAATCAAAACAAAATATCTAGAAATAGAGCATTTGAACCAAAAATAAAAACCAAACCCAATGCTGGGGAGTACATTCTGACTCACAATGACCCCATCCTGAAGCACTGATTAGAACTACCCCATGGGGTTTCCAAGGATAGAATCTTTACAGAAATAGACTGTCCAAGCTTCCTCCAACAATGCCACTGGTGGGTTTGACCCACTAAGCTTTGGAATAGCAGGCACCATTCATTTGTAAACAGCTTCTATTTATTTATGGTAGCAGACTGCAATATCTTTCTCCTGAGTAAAAACTGGTGGGTTCAGACTGCCA